ACAATGGAAATAATAGTAATTTTAGCACGCCCTGTATGATATGGAGTCGATTTCTTGGTGTTATTTGAATATTTCAAGTTTGTCCAAACTATCATCAAAATATCAACTTTTCATGAATTGAGAGTACTAATGTACTTGATTTCAATTAAGGCTATGTTTTGGACCACATTTAGCAAAATTTATTTTTTATCTCGAAAACAGATAGAGATAGGTATAGGACATTATCAACAAAAAAGTATTAAAATACCAGAGCGATTCCAAAAATGTATTAATATATGGGGTGTTCCGTTTAAAAAAATATAATTGCTAGGACTTCTTGATAGAAGTGGCAACGCCGCAATGCTGAAAATATTTTAGATCGATAGAACAGGTAAGGAAATGTGAGAGGTGAAATTTTCAGAAAAATCATGCTTTGCCTTTTCCAGAAACGTCTAACCTACCATCGACCGTGAGTCACACTGTATATCAAAATTGATACAATAGCCACAAGCAGATGCTAAAACTCAAGCCTTGTACCCAAAACGAATAGGCGTTCCCTTCATGAATTGCTTGCATCCATTTATTCCAAAATAATTTATCTATGAGAGGTCGGAGCTTTGCTGCTTTATCGCTCTGGGCCAGATTATTGTTATCAACCACGTGAATGAATCTGAATATTTCTTCAAAACGATTTCGCCTCATTGAAGTCACTGCAAGAATATTATGTGCATCTTCACGTTTCCCAGAACATTCTCCTCTGAGGAACTGGCACATACTCACTGAGAAACAATATTGCAAGGAATGCATACATTTCGTCAGTGCCAAGCTCTAACTGGTTATTTTTCTGAAAAGCATATAAAACGCTATGTTTTACGATTTGCTCCATAACGTTTGTATTCGTAAATATCTAAAAATATTCTATAGCCTCACTGTTTTCGGACAAAGAAATTGGAGACAGACATTATATGTTATTAGATATATTTGTAGTTCCTTTCTCAAGATCTGTATTGACGGTCCAAAGCTTTTTCTGATTGAATTTTTTCTTTTTCTTTGCTTGTGTTATTGCTGCCAAATCACACCCTTTACCTCTTGTTCATCAAATTCTATGTCTTCTGTTTCGTGGACATTGGTTATATTTGTTTCTGCTTCCGCGTGTAACTGTTGACTATTCAATCTGCCAGGATTGTTACAATCCTCATCACTGGAATCAGCATCTGTATCAAATCCGTTATCTTCAGGAGGTGTAATGATAATATCACTGGGCATCTCGGCATCATCATCTAGCTTCTCTATTTCTTCCAACAGTTCAGCTGCAGTGAGCGGTTTTTTCCTAAAATAATAACCTATAAAACATACTAAAATTTGCCCAAGGGGTCGATAACGACTCATGTAAATAATGTTTCTATTTTCAGGTTATGAATAACGTAAATCTTCATTTCAATGAATTGTGTATTTAAGTTCCCAATCATCACTTAAAATTGATGACTGGAATGGAAGATTACTGCTTACTCACCAATATAATTTGTGACTCATGTTCTCAATGAACCGATTTCATCTCTATATCAGTTCTTACTGGCACACCGCAGAACAAAATCGAAAAATTCACACGAAAGTTTGAATGATAACTGAACAAAAACCTAAATATTTCCTCTCAACTTGTAACGACAAGTGCGACAGAAATTAAAAAGAGCGTTGGGTCATTAACGACCCTCTGGCCATAAATAGGTTTGAACGAAAAAACTGAAATTACAATGAAATACAAGCAACAACTAATAAATAAAAAATGAACTATCAACACGAGATGAAAAGGAACTAGGCATCATCAAAAGTGACCTTCTACAAGTGAGACAAATTCGGATTTTTCAGGACTGAAATTTTTTCAGGAGAAAAGTGTATTTGTAGTAAGTTGGTAGTCCTGTTCACGAATCTGAAGGAAATTTGAGCATATTTTGCCCCCCTAGTATCATTTACCGTAAAAATGGATTGTTCCATCGCTAGTGGCGAGCAGTGTATATCACTTTAGCCAACCACATTCAGGTGGTAGGTGCATTTCCATCAGTCCTGAGAGTTTCATTATTCTACCTCGATTATTACGGAAGATACGGGGGTGTTTCCATGAGAAGTGAGAGACACTGTATTTGGAACTTGAAACTGAGATATCAATTTTTTTACAGATACCAATGACGCGAACCGATAAAACCGAAGCTGTCCTGAGACAAGCGTTCATGTGGGGTACTCTCGTATCCCCATTGGCAGCGAGCCGCATAGCAGCAAGAGTTGGAGCAGAAAGGTTATACGGAGCAGGCGTCCTAGGTGCAGGTGTGGTGGCAGTTATGGTTCCTGCCTCTTGGTTGACAGCTTGCCACGTAGTTATACGGTTCATCCAAGGAATATTTATGGTAAAATACAGTCCTGAATCAGATTATTTTATTCTTATGCATGTATGAACACTAGGGAGGCCGTGAAAAATCGATGTCGGAATTTTTATTCTTCTGGACCCCACAAAACGATTCCCCCTTCCAGATATTGAGATAGCCGAAATTTGAGCTCGATTCAACGACGTTAACCCGTGCCACCCGTCGCTGAAAAGGCTGACATATGGAGCCGTAACTCCAGAACGGTAAATAATAAAAACACGCTTAACATCTCAAAAGGAAGCTAATGTTGTTCTTCAAAATTTATATTGTGTACATAATTGTTGTTATTTTAAGTCAAACCGAGTTACAACAGCCTTTAGCCCCAGAAACGTGACCTGGTCTAGGAGCATACTTCGTATCTTACGTTATTAAGTGGTGAATTTTGCTTTTTTGGTATATTTTTGAGTTTGAAATAGAAATATAATGAAAAAACAAGTGATACTGATAAGTCTAATGACATTTTTTATTTCAAAATATAAAAATCAGGTATATAATATATACAAAACAGACACAGAAAAGATATAGACATTGTACTTAATTTTACATATATATCTAATCTATTCTAAAACTTTTTGCAGTAGTTTTTGAAAATAATGCTCGGCATTTGCTTACAACTTGCAGGACATATTGTTTTTGGTCTTCATCTTTTGTCAGAAGGTTGTTAAAGTTGGTTAACCATATCATTAACTACTCTTAATGTTTTGAAAATTTTCAATCCTTCTTGGGAGTAATTATCTTGAGGCCAGGTATTTTCATGTTGTCTTAGGAAATGAGTTTTTATTTTAAATCTGTCAATTAATGTAAACATTTCTTTGGTAAGTAAATTTATCAATCCTTCATCAAGGATGGGTCATCCGTGCTACTGAGCAATTTATTAGCCATTAACAACTTTTCATCGTCTGTAATAGTGGGATCAAAAAAAGATAACCCCACCAACTCTACATTCACAAATGGTTTAAAAATTTAGTCAGGGCTATTTCTGCAATGTCGTTGTCACATTCTTTATAGTCCAACAGACTATGCAAAATACCTAAATCTTGCTTTGGTGCAAGATGAGCTTTTGGAACATCGAGCCAAGCCTTACAATATACACACATCGGAAAAGTCTAGGGATATTTTTAAAAATGGCAATAATTTTTTTTTAGATCGCTTTAGGGAAAACAAGTTGACGGGTGATTATTAAACGAATGTAACTTACAACAAAATTTATTAAATGGTCAAAAATACTGAGTGCGCATATAAGCAAAACTAAAAAAAAAATATGGCTCTTCTTTGGCACCCCGAAAAAAATCATAATACAAAAAAAATTGGAATCAGTACAAAGCATGGCCTCCACGCTGGTTTATTACGGCCCTACATCTATCGTAAACTAATTGTACTAAGAATTTTTCTTTCATTCTTAACCCTCTCAAAAATTAATAAGCACGCCTCCGATTTGCTGTCAACTGGGCTTACTTCTACTCTCAATCATTATTGGTTTTAGTATAGTCATTTTATGCCTAAATTAGGTTAGTTGTGAAACAATGTGTAATCCGCCATTTTGTAACTGCGACCATCTTGGATTTACAATGATACAAAATTTATTAAATTGCATTGTCATCAAAACTAAATGTGTGTACAAAATATCAGATCAATTTGTCAACAGCAAGAGGGTCAAATTTCAGTTACTAAATTTGACTCAAACATACAAACAAACAGTACAAGCTAAATGAAACTGTTTAAAAACGTGCAAAATTTTTGAAACAACCTAATAAGTATTTTTTCAGGGAGCTACTTGGCCGGCAGCCCATATGTTAGCAGTAACCTGGATAAAACCTAAACATGTCAGTGGTTTCGTTTCTCTGTACACAGGTAATATTTCATAATTTTTTATCATGAGAATTGCGATAATGATATTGATTTAATAATCACGTTGGTAGTGAGTATGCTACGTGATTTTTTGGTCATATCTCGTACTTCCAGCATAGGTTCACGAAGAATCACTGAATTCAAAATGTATGTATCTCCCAGTGGCGGCGCGAGACCTTGAAAATGTCGAATTTTTATATCGATCACTCAAGTGGATGTATGATTAACTATAATTTCTTTTCATAATCTTGGAAACAAGCTGGTAATTCCTAAACGACTGTTGCCATTTTCATAAAACATATCTAAGAACCATCCCGACAAAATTAAGTATTGAATAAAAAAACCGCATCAAAATCAGTATACTAGTATAGGAGCTACAGTTCTACAGACAGACACACACAGGTATAATTCAAACTAATAACACCCCTCTTTTACGTCGAGAGTTGAAAATAAAAAAAAAAGAATAAATTGAAGAAACAAAAATTTTCTACTTTTGGTTGTACTGAACTTCCTAATTATCGGTTAGTAATTTATCTTTGATGTTATATCTACTTCAATGGATGAAACTGCCAAAGCTGAAAGTCTTTTTGGATTTTCCATAGGTATTTTTCTATTTCATTCTCGGACTTGCGTGGGCGGTTGCCCACATCGTCCACGCCTTACGCCGCCTCTGGATCTCCTATTTCTTACTTGTAATGCACTGTTTGGAACCTTTGGTGTAGTAATAAACATTACTACACCAAAATAATAAATATCCCAACACCGAACCGTTATTTTAACACCTCGACACGTGTTTCGATCACCAAGTGATCATCTTCAAAGAGGAAGATTAAAACTAATCTTCCTCTTGAAGATGATATTTGGCATTGAAAAGGAAATCAGATAGAATAGAATAGAATAGAATAGAAGTTTATTTAACCACATTACACTTTACATGTTTGTAGTAAATCAGGACAAATTTATTACATATGCTTACGCACAGCAAAAGTAATTTCAGATCGGATGAGTATAACATATAATTTAAGATAAAAAGTAGAGCAACATAAAGATTAACATTAAAAACATGAAAGAACAACATGATATAGCATATTTACGGTAGTCAGATGAGTATGTTGCTTGTATGTTGAGACTTAGGAGCGATTTTTAAAATACCCCAGGTTATCAGAGACAGAGTAAAAGCAGCCCTCCAATAGTAGTTGTTTGATGGAATGTTTGAATTTATTCATACTAAGATCTTTCAGCTTGACTGGTAAACAGTTATATAAGTTGTAATCCAAATAATTTTTTTGTGATTTAGCTAGGCGATATCGATTTGTACAGATCTTTTGAGCGTTTCTCGTACGGTACTGATGAATATTAGAACGTTTAGGTAAGGTACTCGCAATTCTGTGGATTTCTAGCAAAACATGAAAAATGAATAACGTTGGTACAGGCATGATACCTAATTTTTTGAAAATTGACTGACACGGTTCCCGAAAACCTACATCTGCCAATATTCGAATGGCCCGCTTTTGTAACCTAAAGATATTGAGAGAACCAGGTGAGTTTCCCCAAAGAACAATCCCATAACCAATGTGAGAATGAAAAAGAGAATAATAAGTAATTTTTAATATATCGAAGCTGGTAATATTTTGGAGTTGTCGTAGAACATTAATAGTGCTGGATAACTTGCTCCTAAGCTGATTTGTATGTTGATGCCAAGATAAAGTATTGTCAAGTGTTATGCCAAGCACTTTCACGCTATCATTTGAGGGGCCTACAGTGGAGAATTAAAGGCGTTGTGTCTTATTGGTATTTAATTTCAAATTATTTGTTAGAAACCAAGTATTAGCTTTATTTTCAATGTCTTCCGATATTTCTGTTAGTTTGTTGATACTATTTCCACTGTAGATTAAGGTGGTATCATCAGCATAAAGAATTGTTTTATTTGGCGCCATAAAATTGCAGAAATCATTTACGTAGATGATGAAAAGTAAAGGCCCAAGAATAGATCCTTGAGGGACTCCATGTACTACATGTTTGAAGCTAGAAATGGTATTATTGCAAGAAACAGCTTGATATCTATTTGTGAGGTACGATTTGAGTGTGTTAACGAAACTCCTCTCACCCCATAATATTGTAATTTTTCAAGTAACAGCGTGTGTGACACGCAGTCAAAAGCCTTAGATAAATCAAAAAGTGTAATGGCAGTATGCAGTCCATCTTCAAGGCCATCAATGACATATCCAACTACATCTAAAACAGCTTGCGAGGTGGATCTTTCTTTGCGGAAACCATATTGGGAGTTTGAGAAAAAATTACTTGTTTCAAAATAGGAATATAGGCGTCTTTTTAAAAGTATTTCAACAATTTTACTAAAAATTGAGATAATGGAAATAGGACGGAAATTATCCAAGGAAGAAATATCTCCTTTTTTAAATATTGGGATAACTTTGGAGAACTTAAAAGAATCCGGAAATATGCCTGTTTCAAAAATCAGATTTACTAACATGGTTAACGGGTATAGTATGATGTCGAGCGTTTCCTTGATAATAGAACTATTTAAATCTTGGGCATCTAGGCAGTTTGATTCTTTTAGAGATTTTATCGCTTCTGTGATTTCAAGCTCGGTAACGGGCTTGAGAAAAAAGGTGTTGCAGGGAGCTGGAAAATTTTTAAAGTTTTGTAAATCAAATATGGTTAATTTAGGTGAAGATTTTATGATACTTTCTGCAATATCCACAAAAAAGACATTGAAATTTTCCGGTGAGATATGAGAAGCAATTTTTTTATTTCGTTCGAAATTGATGATCTTCCAGCAAGCATTAGATTTATTTTTTGCTGAACGAATTTAATCATCATAAGCTCGTTTTTTAGCAAGTTTTATTTGCTGTTTATAGCCCCTCTTTAGGTATTTATATAGCTCAACATCTGAATAATCTTTGCTCACGTCAGCTATAAGTTTGACGTTAGTCAATGTCTTTCTGAAAGTTTTCAGAGAATCGTCGAACCAGGTTACTGGAGATTTATTGGTAATTGGTATGGATTTCCTTAGAGGCATGTTTTTGTGAACCAAAGAAGTGTACCTGTTGGACAAATATGAAGCAAGCATGTTAACATCGGTAGAGCTTTTAAAAATATCCCAGCTCGTTTCCGAAAGGGAGGATTTTAGTTTATTCAAAGTTGCTTGGGTTATTCTCCTGGAATAATTAGTTTTATTGAATAGTTTAGGTTTTTCATTTAAAATGATATATTGGCCTTGTGGTCAGCTATACAGGGTTCAAAAACTCCTGTATGAATATAATCACTATTCAAATTTGTGAGAATATTGTCGATTTGACTAGAGGATGAGACTGTTATTCTAGTGTCTTCATGTATCATAATATTTAATCCAAAAGAACGCAGTAGGCAATGGAGCTCATTGAGGACATTTGAACCGGTTTTAAACTCAATGTTGAAATCTCCCAAGATAATCTGGCATGTGGTCTGGAAGCCACTTTCACATTGTTTTTTCTGAAGAAACCCGCATTTATCTCTGTTCTTTTTCCATTTTTTTTCATTTACTTATTTTCTCAAGATGTCTTTCCTTTGTAGCAACAAAAATTCATTTTCGACAGCCTTTCAAAGTCCTGTTGTATCAAAATTGACCTTTTAAAGAGACTAGTGAGGAATAAATTGAATATAAGTTAGAAAAAATTACTTTTGTTTGATTTCTACCAAGTTTTTGATTTATTACGGCCAGTTCCGGCTTTTTAAACCATTTTCCAGTAACTTGTCGTAACAAACGAAAATTCCACTCAATTAAATGGATTTTAAAAATTTTCCGATTTCAGTACCCCCATTATTAGCCAAAATGAAATTTCGAAATCTTCTCAATGGAAATTTTCCATCTCCAGTATGATACTCACCAAAAATAATATTTCAAGAAACCGACTGGGGGGATGCTCATCAGTAAAATCATGTTATTTGAATGGAATTTTTTTCGTGTATCGAATAAAACTAAAAACCAAAATCAATTCGATCCTGATGAAAACATTGCACTCATTTCAGTAACATAATTTTGTTTTTTTTTACAGCTGTCAACCTGGGATATGCAATCGTGGGTATCCTAGGGACCCAATTAGTGCGAAAGCTAGGTCGAGACTGGCTCAGCTACACCATTGCGCTGATTTCACTCTTGTGGTATTTCCTCTGGTGGCGATTTGTTGAAGAATCACTGCATCCAAATCGTCCCAAGCGAGATGTAAGTATTCGAGGGAAGAATATTCTAAAACAAATCTTTTTCAAGTTTCTGTTTTCATTCATATAACATACATTCATAAAAGTTCCTCTCATCCAAATATTCTTTGATTTCTTGAATATTTTGGTGACATACGAGGGTGATCTGAAACGGTTCTGACCTCAACATGAAGATGGCAGCACTCGTAAATGAAAGGTAGTGAATTTCGTTGTTTACGTGTTGACAATTACTCACCAAAATTTCAGCCATTTTGGACGCGCAGTTGTCATGTAACAGTCGTTTGAGTGAGTTGATGTGTTTTTATGAAAATGGATGAAAGGGAATATCGAGCTGTCGTTAAACATTTGTTTTCAAAAGGCTATACGCCTACGCAAATCAAAGATAAGTTGGGCAGCTGCCATTTTGGGCAGCTGAATTTAAACGTGGCCGTTAGTGCTTGGGAGACGATGAACGTTCGGGCCGTTCAAAATTACGAAATTTGGATTGTTGTTGAACCACCAGCGACAATTTTTTGAACTAACTGTTCCATTCGACGTGAAAGTTGCCTCGTCTGTCCATAAAATCCTGTAGAGAAATGCGATATCATTTTCTCTCTCACCTTGAAACTAAAATGAAAATCCTACTCGATTATCGAAATCTTTTTCTTTAGGAGTGTGTATGAACTTTGGCTTATAGTAGTCTTTCTCAAAGTGGGCGATAACGCCCACTTTGAGAAAGAAGGGGGGCGATGGCTAGTTTAAAAATGTTTGCTTTTAACACAAACTTTACCGCTCGTTTACGCTTAACGCGCGTTTCTTCGTGTAAGGCCATCTAGGGGACTAGATAGTAACTATTTTCTGTACGATAGTTATCAAACTGTACAATAGATGGCAGTAAGCTTCAATGCGAAGCGAGAAGTTTCTATTCTCCATTTTCGAAACTACTAGGCCCGCCCGCTGCCTCATATAAAAACGCGCGCGCCATCCAGCCAGTAGTATGCAGTTTCTGATGTCAGCTGTCAAGTTGACTAATTTTCGTTGTGCTGATTTCGAAGTGTAGCATCTATCTTTCGAGATGGAACAAGTTATAGAAACGATTTTCAATTATACGAAAGTTCGTTAAGAGCCAAAAGAAGCAGGCTATAATATCAACTATTATAGAATACTATGAAATAAGTAGTACCGAACTAGTGGAAGCATATAAATTCTTTGCAAAGAGAATGGACTTGAATTTGAGAAACAAAAAACCTCTAATTCATCGTCTTATCGACTCCGACTCTGACATCAGCGATCTGGACAACAACAATGTTATGTCGGGCGAAGAAAGCCAAGCGGCAAAGGCCCCAAAAAAGACGCAAAAAGAGCCAAAACCCGGTTTTTCCCAGACTAAATGGACCAATAAGCCAAAATCAAATAAAACTACACCCGCCTTATCACAAAAGCCAGGCGTGGCTGGAAGATAAATTCAAAAGCCCACTCAGAAAACTGAGTCGGCAAATATAGAGGAAACAGAAGTCCCGACACCTGACTCAATGGAAGTAGGCGACGAAGAACTAGTAACAGACGCCTCGAAAAATGACCGGGCAGAAAAACACAAAAAAGCGGATAAGCATCCACCCATAACCATCCGCGCAAAAGAAAAGTGGAAAGCTTTTAACACGATTGCTGCTGCGTAAAACATCTCCATATTGCGGGCGGTGAACACAACAGTTGGAATTAAAGTCCACCTTAAAAATACAGATGATTGTAGGAGAATTACTCGGATCCTCGATCAAGAAAAAATAGCCTACCACATATATACAATGAAGAGCGAAAAACCACTCAGAGTAGTTTTTTGCGGGGTCCCGGAATACATAGAGTGTGACGACATCAAGACTGAACTCCAGGGCAAAGGATTTGAGATCCTTTACGTAGCCCGCCTGAGTAAAGCTTACAAGGTACCGATACCTTTCGTGCTTGTTTTAGTTACAAGGAACCAAAACAAAATATATGAGGTCACCGAAATTCAAAACGTGCGTGTGAGCGCCGAAACACAGAAGCCGAGAAACCGAGCAGGGCAATGTTACAGATGCCAAAAGTTTGGTCACACGCAACGCAACTGTAAAGCAGTTCCAGCCTGCGTTAGATGTACCGGACGGCACATGACCAAGGAATGCAAAAGACCTAAAAATTCGCCCTTGCGATGCTTTAACTGCAAGGAAGAACACCCAGCGAGCTTCCATGGGTGCGCAGAACGCCCTGAAAATAAAAGGGCCTCAGATAGGCCGAACGAAAACAGACAGACCACAAACCCAAGGCCTGTCGGAAGAAACTCAATCAGGAGTCACGTCTCGTATGCGAGGGCTGTCTCATCGTCAGAGAACGCCTGCAGCTCTCCCGAAGGTCTCCCAACGGCCTTAGGGCAGCTACAGGAGCTTCTAGTGAAGTTTCCGGTACTGCAATTCATGCTTGCCGAAAAATAAAACAAGAAACAGTGCATAAACGGCCGCAAAGCCAAAGAAGTACGCTGTGACCTCTACACACAGGGCAAAGAGCCAAAAGAAGACGACAGAGGACCATGCAATCCCCTGCCGCCCCGCCACAGGAACCCAAGAAAAACTCAAACAGCCGAAAGGATAAGGGGCCTTAGGCCCATAATTCTGACTTAAACAAGATAACGAACAGCCAGTAATGTCATTTGACGATATTACGATATTAGTAAGTTTTTGATACTTGATTCTTTACTTCGGCATTTTTTAAGACAAAATAATGTCGGAAGCAAAAACGAAGAAACGGCAGTATAGCGCGGAATATATAAAATATGGATTTATTGAAAATCCCACAAATCTATCTTTGCCGATATGCTTTCTTTGTCAAAAAACATTCTCGAATAAAGCGATGAAACCCTCAAGGCCACAAGATCATTTGAATAAAACGCATTCAGATAAAAAAGACAAAAGTGTGACTTATTTTCAAGAACATAAAAAGAAACACTCAGCTCAGCCAACTGTGTCAAAACTTTTTTCACCGACTTCTAAGCAAGGCGACGACGGACTCCAAGCTTCCTAAATATCTCCTTGCTAATTGTTCAAACAGGTAAACCTCATACTATTGGAGAGGATTTAATTTTACCGGCAATGAAAGAAGTAATAACTACTGTGCTCCATAAACCAGCGGCAGATATCCGAAAAACTCCTTTGAGCAATAGTTCCATGCAGAGACGAATTGATGAGATGGCTGAAAACTTTGAAGAGTCATTGAAGAATCATCTGAAGACTTCTAAATTCTCAATTCAGTTAGATTAGTCCACTTTACCAACCAATGAAGCATTGTTGTTGTCATACGTGAGGTTTATTAAAAATGAGAAAATGTATCAAGAACTACTATTTGCCAGAAATTTAGAGACATATCCAAAAGGAGAAACCATATATATTATAGAAGAATATTATATCAGCTGTTACGGATGGCGCTCCGGCTATGAGAGAACGTCACAAAGGCTTCATAGCGTACTTAAAAAATAAAATTCCAGATATGCTCGTTGTACATTGCGTCAATCATAGGCAACATTTGGTTGCGAAAAAATTTGAGTGAGCGCCTGTCTCGTTCACTGCAATATATCATCAAAGCAGTCAAAGCAGTTAATTAGCTTTGTGTTGCTAATCATGAAGATTTCAACCAATTGCTATTTCATACAGAAGTGCGTTGGTTATCAAGAGGTAACAGTCTGACTCAATTTTACAGTCTCTTTGACTCTGTAATAGAGTTCTTGGAAAACATAGAGAAATAATTGCACGACAACCTCATCACTTCAAAGAATGATATTGCGTACTTGACAGACCTGTATAAATTATTTAATGATGTCAATCTCCAACTCCAAGGAGATGACTTGAATTTGATTAAAACACAAAATGTCATCGCTGCTTTTGTAGCCAAATTGCTCTTATACAAGAATAATATCGGCAGTCGTGAGTTTCGCTGTTTCCCTAATTTGTCAGCAGTATCCTTCAACAACGACGACTTGCTTGTTTACTGCCAACATTTGGAGAACCTCCACATTGATTTTGCAGAACGATTCCAGGACATTTTAAAATTGGAAATACCGGACTGGGATCCTTTTTCAAATGTCAACACAGCAGGATCATCCCAGCTGGAATAACATGAATAATATCACAAAATGGTGTTTTACATTACCCTCATCAGAAAGTCTTATTTCCGCATGACACACATAATTTAATTATCTGTTTAAAATCTGTTTTTCCGTTAACCAGCTATCGCACCCCTACGAACGACAACCCTCAGAAGTCGAAACTTGTGAGAGCTAAGCATTAACGAGGTCTTTCCTTTTAACGTATGATTCCCAACACATTATTGAAATAATGACTGCGATTGTGATTCTTAAGATGTAATGAAGTAAAAAAAAAATGGGGAGCGCTAGAAAATAATCAATTCTCGAAATGGGCGGTAGACAAAATAAGTTTGAGAACCTCTGCCTTATAGGAATGGAATGTATTTTTGTGCAAAATTATTCTCACAGTTTCTCTGCCAACCCCTGTATCTTCACTAATGCTCCTTACATTAGTTTTTCCGTTTTCAACAACGCTCAAGCAAACATTGAGTTGTTCTTCTTCATTAAACTTTATTGGATTATGTGGTTTCTTGAAACGATTGTCCACAGAGCCACTTTCTTTGAATATTTTCAATATCCTTCCCACGGTACTAAAGTGAATATTTCTTCCTGGACGCCGGTGATTGAAAATATAATCAACATCTCGATATGGCACATTCTCACCACATAAAAGAGCGATTTCCACTTTGTCTTGGGTGGATGAAATTGTACATAAAACTTATTTGTGAATTATGAATTTACGCAAAATCTGTACACAAATTGTGGAATTGGCCGCGGTGGTAGTGCGCCCGACTCACGATCGGAAGGCCGTGGGTTCGATTCCCGCCTCGACCAGATATTTTTCTCGAGAGAATTTATCTGGTTGAAGCTGGGATGATTCTGCAACCGTGTTATGAATCACACGTTAAGAAGTAAGACCTCGTTAGTCCTTAGCTCGCACAAGTTTCTCAACTTCTGAGAGTTGTCTTTCATATTGAGGCGACAGCTGATTAACGGAAAAACAGATTTTTTTTAAATAGAACAACTCGATTCATTGACATTAACCAAAACTAAAAATTAGTTTCAAAAGCCTACTGCAGGAAAGTTTTATTTCGATTTGATATTTAAAATCACGAAATTTCACATCATGTTTAAGTATATACGAACGAAAGTCTTTTGAATACTTGCGAAAGTTTAGTTTACATAAAAGTATATTTCGGGTTAGTTTGTAATTAAATTATTGACCAGAAAAATAATCAAACTGAATGAAAATCTATTGAAAAAGGAAATACGAGTATAATAAGAATGAAGAGAAATACTTTTATTCCATACCTGATATGTTAACGTTCATACAGTGAAAATCCGAATCAATCAAATGAAAAAACTAGATGAACTTTGCAACAACAAAGACGAATTTCTGGAGGTGTATTTATTTTTTTTCTGATAACAGGCTAATGCATGTATTTTCTGGGGAAGATGATATTGAAGTCTGGTATTCATCAAAATTATGAAATTTGTATCAAGTTTCGATCGCATCGATAAAGCGAAAAATTCAAAAAATTAAAAAAAATGGAAAAAATTCGAAGTGACAGTAGCGAGTCCAAATTTCGAACAAGGGTATAACATTGGAAACTGAGCAACTTTCTTCTTTGGCATTTTTCGAAATAAAAAAATTAAATTTGAAGGTTTAAAAAAAATGTCAAATTTGGCAGACACATGACAAAAGAAAAGAGCCTGTTTGTCACTCATTGTTCAAGCACAAACCCTCTGCGAAATCAAATTTCCATTATTTCCTTACGAATCAGGGGACAGTTGTCCAGAAAATCTTGAGAACAAAATTGGATTAGATAATTTAGAAAACCCTTGCCACATGAATAGCATTTTACAACGAAGAATTTCAAGAACGAGGTTTCAACGATGAACGAGAACGAGAATGTTTCCTCAGAACACAACAAAGTTTTTGTTTCGGGGTTGAAATTAGATGATTTTAATGTATTTCCACATGTTAAAACCGAAAGTGACCATAAAAATTATATATCTTTGAGCAATAGTTCCATGCAGAGACGAATTGATGAGATGGCTGAAAACTTTGAAGAGTCATTGTGCAATCGTCAGAAGACTTCTCAGT